GCAGGTACTTTCTATGCTCTAGATAATAGAAAGTACCTGCTAGGTAACAACCATACACTCACCAGTTGGTCCATAATTTGCCCCCTAAGAAGACAAAGTAAAATTTTGATAAGAAAATGCAACAATCGTTATATCAACGATGTTCAATCTAGTATTATCAATGATAGTGGAACTTTCTGGAAATTTGTAAATGTGAAAAATAGTAACTATGACTTGCCAAATTGTATGAGTTTGAATGGTAAAACTATACATGAGCCCCGGGAAATTGTGCAGTTCTTTGCGGAATTTTTTGGGTCTGTTTTTACAAAGATAGACTGTGGTGTACCGAAGGTAGATTATGATAGAACCCTTGATATTAATACCTGTGATATAGATGTATTTAACTCGATCGTAAATATTAACACAAAACAAGAGTGTAAATATGTATTGTCTGAAATTTTAGTAAAATTGTATATTGTATCTTTGTCATCTGGAACATGAAAGGATTCTCGAATAACTCCAATTTTCAAGAGTGGCGATAAATCTTTGGTCGATAATTATACGCGAATTCCTAAGTTTAGTATTATTGCAAAGTTATTTGAATCAATAGTTACTGATAAGATAGCTCCAGTGTTATATCGTTCTGTCAACGTGGTTATGTTAAGGGTCGTTGACTCAGTTTACACTGATTTTTCCAAAGCTTTCGACAGGGTGAAGCACGATATTTTGTTACACAAATTGAGGTGTATGGGTTTTCATGGTCCAATTCTGGCTTGGTTTAAGAGACTTTCGTTTAAGAGTTATTTATCAAACCGTACTCAGGCAGTTAAGTAAAGAATGTGATATCATCCAATATTAATGTGTTATCCGGTATACCCGAAGGATCGCATTTGGCACCAATACTTTTTGACATTTTTATAAATGATCTCGTTTCTAAAATTAAATTCAGTAGTAAACTTCTTTTCGCTGATGATATTTAAAGTTATTTAAGATTATAAGGAACACTAAAGATTGTCTTGCAAAATGACTTTTAAATAGTTTGTGCCTGTGGTGTAAGTTAAACGGTATGGAATTGAATATGCAGAAGTGTAAACAGAATATCCCATTTGATTCTGAAATCTATGATGAGCAACTGAAAAGAGTTAATGTTATAAAATAGTTTTATGTTGACAGTGAGCGACAGTTTGATTATCGGGGATAATAGCACGAGAGCTTCAAAATTACCGATAATTTTTCACGATTGCGTGTTTTCTATAATTTCACGAGTCCGTAGGACGAGTGAAATTTGCAGAGAAAACACGCATGAGTGAAAAATTATCTGGTTCATTTTAAAGCTCAAGTGGTATTTAGAGGATTATTTCACGTATGAGAATGCAAAAAATATGGAAATAAATATGTATTAAACGAGTTGAACATCTTAACAATCAATACAAATAAATGGTTGCTATCAGGAACCGTTTGTATTGTAAACGTAAAATGGCAAGGCCGTTAATAGATAAATAAATAAATAAATGAATAACACAAGTAGAACATAAATGATGCAATTTTCAATCTCTGGGATTTGCTGATGAAACTTAACACCTATGGCTTTAGAGGCACAATTTTGCACTGGTTTAGGTCTTATCATTCAGGGCACCAGCAGGTTGTGGAGTTTCAGGGTGAGCAGTCCGCTGTGGGTCTCTTGAGTCTAGAGTCCCGTAGGGGTCAGTGTTGGGTCCCCTGCTATTCCTCATCTATGTTAATGACATTTCATACTCAATTTTTCAATCATTTGCTGATGACACTACCATTCTCTGGCACCATAGTAGCCCCGTGAATCTTCATGACAATGTTGTAGTTGTACTGAGGGCAATTAGGGATTGGTGTGAATCAAATAAGCTTAGCTATATTACCAAAATAAATATATTAAATTTTAAGTGAGACCTGGGTGAGGTTTCGGTTGACACCGGGGTCATCGAGACTGGCTCTTCAGCGAAATGTTTGGGTCTATTTGTGGATTCCAGATTACGCTTTGATTGTCATATAACAGCCTTGTGCGGCAGGCTTTCATCGGGGTGTTATGCTGTCCCATTTAGTTAGGAATATTGAGTGCAAATCCCATTTAGATAGGAATATTGCCAGAATCGTATATTTCTCTGTTGTTAAGGTTTAAAGTCAGGCCTATAGTTTATTACAGCAACGCGAGATGTCAATGCTGTCGCCTCTATAGTATGCCCTAACTTGTCTGTCAAAAAAAAATAGAAATCTTCATTTGGTTAAATTGTGTAATGGAACGTTTTTTCTTTTTTTGGCGGAAATTCGAAGTATTATTCTGTTTTACATAAACAGGGTTGTAGTTTCGACCAACGCAAATAATTTTGAACGTTGATCCGTCGGATTTTTTTCTAAACAGTGTAGCTACGGGCGTATTTCCAACTATTTATGCAGTAGCGAGAAAACTACAAGTTCAAAAAATTTGAAAAAAATATATGTCGCGTAGAATTGCAATAGTAGTTCGTAATAAAAATAATGGGAAACTTCATCTATTCGTTTTGAAATAAATGGTGAAAAACTACTTTTTTTTTCAGTTTTTGCGATATAACTCAAAAATGGCGAGTCAAATATGCTTAAAAAAATTATGGATTAAAGTATATCGATATCCATAAAACATATATTTTTTTTGGAATTTTTGAACACAAGGTTCAGAAAATAGGGGTTGACTTTAAACCCTAATTGGACAAGTCTTTGTTATCCAAAAGAGAAGAGCATTGAGGTATCTGTGTGAGCTTAATCCTAGGCAATCATGGAAGCCCTATTTTGTGTCTGAGGGAATTCTGACCTTGGCTCTCATTTTTATTCTCAAGTCAGCGTGCTTAGCATTCAGGAAATATAAAGACATGTTTGTCTATTCCCTCGTCTACTTTGACAAAAAAATCTATATTTTGTGACACAAAAAAAAATGTTCAACCCCTTACCTTTAAAGGTTAGAAAGCCTAACAACTATTTGTTGTTCAGTAGAAGAGTCAAGAATCTCTTATTACCATTGGCAATTTATAACGTAGATTAGTATTTTACCCATGGATTTATTTGAGGCTCGCCCTATGCCTTGCATACTGGCATAAAGACCCTGTATATAGATTTTACCTATCCATTTTTTTTTGAATCGCACTGTACCTACTCAATTTATTCCTAATATTTGATTTTCTTGTCCCAGCTTTGTCAATGAGGATTATTATGTATTCTTTGGACAAGCTATATTTGATTTGATTTGATATTCTCTGTTTCTTGTTTGATTTTAAACATTTATTATGAGAGTATTGCCTCATTAGATCATAATATATTTGCCTCCATATTTTTGGGTAGCTTTTTAAACTTACAAGGGAAATTAGATGTATAATGGCCGAAAAAGTGTAATTATTATTTCATGCTCTAAAAATCGATCGGATGCTGTTCAGAACAGGTTTCAGATCTAATTTTGGTGCACGACAGTGACACTTTATTAAAGATACTGGGATCATAAATTTGGAATATTGTTTTCATCTTCAGCCATAAAGCCATTTTGTATGTCATGTAGATTATAGTGAGGCTTTGAATCTGTTAGAGAAAAATCGAATCTTATATTTATTTTATAACAAGACTAACTAATTATAATTCAAACCACGTAAGCTCCTATGAGGTAACTTATAGCCACATTCATTCCTATAATCAAGTTAAAATTTTGACCTCTTGATTTATTGTTGTGTTGGTGACTTATGAGACTAAAATAAACTTTCAAAGTTAAAAGAACCATCTGTTTTCTTTGACGCCATGTAAATTTTGTCACAGATGCATTTAAATTGACGCTAAAAGGATTTCTTTTGTTTCGAAACATAAAAATGCAACGATTTAATACAAAGAAAAATTTCCTCTTAAAGCAGGAAATAGGCATTTTCCTTAATGAAACCATAGACGAAACGGAAACCTATTTTTTTAAAGATTTACGTATTTACCTATGTAATTGGAATTTGCAATAAACAATATAATTAGGAATATTTCTAAATTTCAAAGTAATTAATACGATATTATGTATTAATAGCACGGAAAGTTCTCAATTTTCAATTCAAGTGAATGGACGTAGGCATTAAACGGTAAAAAAAATCAAAAATTCAAAAAATAAATATTGATTTCACTGATTGAAGAAAAATATTAGAGCAACAATCCGTAGCAAACCGGAAGTACTGGGCATAGTTTGGATAATGGAATCAAGAAAAAAACAAAGTTCAAAGCCGATTTACTATTCTATTTGGAAACTAGAACAATAGTGAAATTGGTATGAAAAAACCTAAAATTTGCAAGATAAAAAGAGAATACAAATTCACATGACCTTAAAAAAAAAATATATCGCATTATCTTTGGACTTTTCAGTTTTTTAATAAATAGGTTTCAAGGGTATTTATCATTGTGCAACGCTAATTAATAATATAGGAAAAAAAAAGAATAATGTTAACCCTAGCCTTTCAAAATTTAACAGACCGCAAAACAAAAACAAGGCCAAATTGTCTACTATTGATATGTATTTGGCAAATGATAAACTCAGACGGTTGGTGGGTGGTTCTTCAATGCAAGCAAAAATTTTCCTAAAGGTACAACCTATATTAGAATTCCAAAACCAGACCATGTTAAAGGTGGAGCTGCATTGTAGGTAGGTCGTTTGTGAGTCATTTAGGAACCATAATCTGGTGCCATAAATTAAGAGAAACAGACGTCAGCAAGCACATAATCTCAATGCTGACGCATTTCTCAAACTATTGCATTATTGGCGTTTAAAATAATCAATAAAAAGTACAATTTCTCACAAGAAATAAACTAATAAAAAAATGGATTCGCAATACCAAATGTTCATTCATTGGCTGTTAAGGAAAATTACAACCAACAAAATGATGACAAAAGGTTGGAAACTTTTATTGACATCCAGTCTACATTAGCTGTTATACCTTTTTGAGATTTTACTTTACCGAACCTGTATACACCAATTTGAAACTACTAATAAATCTTACACTTACAATTGTGAATCTAAATGTTCTGTCCACGTCGGTTCAATTTGCAAGCTTAATCGTCTTCGATTCCTCGACCAAGCGTCCCACTGTTTCCTTAGTCTTTTCTCCGAATTTTTCGAATTCAAATGTTTCCTGAGAAACCTCTGCCATTGGGTTTGAGTATCGGATTCGTCACATTCCGAACACGAACTATTCGAACCGACACTACTCTTTCGACTTGTCACTGTACTTTCGCACCAAGACGATTTCCGACTTTCCGGAGTCGACGGTGTCGTCAGGCCTGATTTTTGACTTTCGAAGCCCGACGAGGAAGATTTTCTTTCTGTCAAACTACTTTTCCGGCTGTCTGTAGGTGAGGAAACGGGAAAGTCGACCGAAGAATGACGTCTAGATGGTACAAGGATATCGGCAAACGTACCTCCATGACTGTTTTGTTGTTTCAACCAACGGATAACGTGTTCATTTCGATCGTCTTCTAATGAATCAAGAATAAGTTCGTTTACATTTTCATAAATTTTTTCTTCTTTAGGAACGTAGCCCATTTTTCTGACTCTAGGTGGTCTCGAATCTGTTGCTGGCACAGTTTCATCTGGCAGTTTTTCAATGGCACTGACAATATCATCATCCAAGGCATCTTTGCTGTACTTACAGTATTTTTTTAATAACCTCAAGACCAAATCGTCGCTTTCCTTAGAAATCCTATCAGTCTTTTTAGGGCTATCAGTTGGTAAATTACAATTAATAAATAAATTATCTCTATCTATTGACCGAAGTTCTGGCATCGAAGGCCTACGAGGCTGTTCGACTATTTTATCCTCGGGAATTTGACCTAAACTCGTTTTCCTTTCGGACACTAAACTATCAGTCAATTTTATCACATTATTCTCACTAGAAAATTCGAATTTACTACCGTTCAATTGATTCTTGAACATTAGTTCTTTGTGTTTCTCTGTAAGTTCTGTGAAGCCATTGTCTTGAAGTATGAGCTGTTTGTTGGCCACCCGTTCCAAAAATTCGGATATCGCCGCCCAATGGGCCTGGGTGAGGATCCCATGCAATCTGATCGACGATAATTGTAGCGGGATCCATTTGTTGTCTTTGAAACACCAGACAACGCCTCCTGATAAGTTAATCATTCTTTAGGCAACACATCAAATTCAAGTTTGGTAGCTCTTTGGTGTTTCTTCATAAGAAAATGTCAGAGCTAAAAATAAAGTCCTTTTTGATGATGATATCTATTATTAACGCACTTAACATTTTGCTGCATATTTATTGTCACCCCTAAATGCCTGTTTCTGTGAACCAATAAATTATTCTGGTATCGCCTGCCTTAATAAACTGAGTTATAAACCAACCATCCTCTATTTTATTATGTGTCGAAGGAATTGATAGTAATTCACGGCTGTTTATCGACCAATCACATCAACTGCGATGACCAATTTATGTTTTTTTCAATTTGTTTTTGTTTTTTTAATTTAGCAATTATAGGGTCAATTCGTATAAGGAAACAAATCTAACCAAATCTTATTCAGGCTTTACGGTAAACAATGGTAATGTAAAGTATAATTTTTCCTGTAGTATGTAAAAACTGTAAAACCCATAAGGGATGGAAAAAAGTCTGAACGATCTAATGCATACATAAAAAATATGTTATAATGATTCATTTGTTAAAAATTCATTCTGCATTTCCCTTAGTTCCTGACAAAATATATTATGAAATAACAAAAAAAGTCGCATTAAAGGTCTTTGACATATAAAGAACCCAAACTACATCCTTTTAAATCAGACGAGCGGCCCCATACACTATCTCTTTGTGGTCAACGTTTTGTGGAAGCCAAAGAGAAAAGAATGGCCTCAAGAAAATGAAAGAAAAAAACAAAGTTATAACCGGTACTCCAAGCAGGGCCTTCGCATCTTTCAAGTTCAGACCCAAGGCAAAAATCAGTTTTTAGAGCATGAATTATAATATTCTACATGCAAAAACTGTAACAATCGGACAACCAGAAAGCACAGTTTAGGCGAGAAAACTGTTACGGTTTTTTCTTGTTTCATTCTCGGTAACTGTTATACAATGTTAAAAAGGCTAATTTAAAAACTTTAATTGAATACGATTTTATTATTGTGGTCGTACCTTTTACAGTCGTCATGTCTAGATGCGGTAACGGGACTTTTGACATAATGCCATAATAAATTTTATCGGAGATGTTCCGATACTGAAACCATGTCGCTGCCAGTACCAACTATAGGTACTATGTACAAAAAAAAACCATCATTATGATTTTCTATAGAGGTATGTAGCTTAACGACCAACAGATTTTATAGATATTGTGATATTGCTCTAAGCTTTATTAGGGACATATCCTGTTTGTATTCGTAACCAACAATCAACTACAATTAAGAATGAAAAAGAAAACACAACATAAAAACAATCAGGAAAATAGTGTCATACAAACCTACTTATCAGGTCAATGCAAGCTTTTCAATTTATCCCTCAATGAAGCCTCAGATACATAAAAAATGTCAATATTTACTGAAAACCCATCAATCCAGTGATAATGTCATTTCGACCCAGAGTTTGGCAGGGTTGCCAAAGTTCAGGAAATACAACCTCTTGATGCAACCAATATTTCAATTTATATTATGGTCAAGAATAAGACTGATTCTTCTAATATTCGATTTCAAGACCCAACTTTCTTTCCATGTCAGAGTAAGTAATCTAGTGTTGAAATACGAAGCTACATTGACGCTAGATTTTGGACTATTTCATATTTTATTGTTGTTAAACGAGGTGAGGGAACTAATCCTGAAAAAGAAGGAACCCCTGAAGAAGCTGCAAAATTAAAAGAATACAAGAAAAATTATAAAAGTTGGCGATACAGACATTCTCTTATAAGAACATCCATTTTGTTCAACATAGATTCAGTGCTTGTATCTGAAATAACTTGCAGCAAGTATGTGGAAAGCACTAAATGATATATTTGACAAAAAATGTGAATACTTTTTGCACGCTCTCGTCAAATCGGTAATTGGGGCTGAATGCGAGTCGGATAAAGATATTCCTGAATACATTGCCAGATATAAGGAACTGTGGGCTAGATTGGCAGAAAGAAACTCAGTTTTAAAAAGTGAAAACTCATTGGAGGCCGCTCTACATCCTTTAGCAACCTCAACAAGAACCAAAGGATCATTTTTTCTTACTACTTTACCTAGCGAGATAGACAACATTATAGATAATTTAAAAAACCCAAGACGACTTAACATATGATGACGTTTGTGCCAGATTATCCGTTGTAAATAATATCTCTCATTCTACTTCTGATGATTATATTGCCCTGATTGGAATACCAAAGAGAAATAATTCTCAGATAACTAGAAGCCTGGAATGTTCATATTGCAAAGAAAATAAAAAATGGTTTAAAGGACACGCATTAGAATATTGTGTAAACAAAAAGAGTGATAATTGTGAAAATGCAAATGTTTCTCAGAAAAATGAAGAAGACTGCGTTTTCCCTACATTTACAGGGAAAAACCTAAATCAGTGAATATTTGACACTGCTGCGACTTCCCATATGTCAAGGGACAAAGCTGTTTTCAACAATTCAAGATAAAATTTAAATCCAATTCGATTGGAAAACGATGATGTCATGAATGTAACTCATATTGAAGAAGTAATTCACAATGTTTTACTGCCATCAGGAAAGTATACTTATTGAAGTTACCGTATAATATTCTGTATGTGCCAGATTCGAAATGTTGCTTTATGTCATGGCAAAATATGAGGCAAAAAGGAATAAAAATGCACGGAGATAGAAATGAAATTATGTATATTCACAAAGGATAATTAAGTGATAGGATGGGTACTACCATCTGAAAAATTACAAAATTTCCAAGAAGATAGGGACTATGGGATGGCTACAGAAGAAAAGGAAAATCTGGAGGTAAGCGTTGTGGAATGGCATAGAAGATTGGGACACGCACCAGTGAGTCTTTTCAGTCAGATGCTTATAAACACATATTCTACCTAACGAGAGACCTATCATAGACTGAAGCATGTATAAAATCCAGATGACGAGAACTATTTCCAGAAAAGAAGGCAACGCCTGTAAAAGATTATTGAAAAACATTCATTCGGATGTTACTGGTCCCTTTAGCGCTCAATCAATTGCGGGAAACGCGTTTATTGATGAATACTTACGATATGCAGTGGTAATGTTTGTAAAGCATAAAAGTGAGGAGAAGGCCAGAGAATGTTCAGCGGATAGAACGCCAGATTGGAATGAAAAATGGTACCTTCAATGGTGGAGAATATGTGTCAGATTCCCTGAAAAATTTCTTTAAGAAAGTTGGAATATTCGATACCAAATGGAATGGCCGAAAGACCAAACAGAACCATCACTACTATGGTCAGAACATCACTCATTGCTTCAGATCTTTCGTATTCACTGTGAGCTGAAGCAGTATCACATTCAGTCTACACAAAAAATAGGCTACCACATTTGTTTAATAAAAAAAGCACCATACATATCTTATTCAAGATATTTTGGACAAAAAACCTTCATTCATATCAATAAAGAAATACAACCAAGTGGAAGCAAATTTTTACCTAAAAGCTTTGGTGGTGGGATATGGCGATAAGAATGGTTGATACAGATTCTTCAATACTTAAAACCGAAAAGTTGTCCTTTCTAGGGTAAGGACTATAAATTTTTGAAAGAAGATGGTATTTTTATAGAACCGATTTTTTTAAATGAAAAATATGATTTGCAATCAGAAATTCAAAATAGGTTTGGTAAAGAAGAAGATAAATATGAACAAAAAGATGAAAATCAAAATAGAGGCAACAAAACAGAAGATATTGGACCAAACATAATAGAAAAAAATGATGATAATGAAAATAATCAAATAAACTTTATATTTAGGCAGTTTTTGGACGACAATACAAAAACACAAAAAGTTGGAGGACTTTTCTATTCCCAAAATTCCAAATTGTATTTGGAAATGACTACCGGTTTCGCAGTACACTACTGCATCGTCAGGCGAAATATACTAAAAATTAGGAAAATTCATAAACATTATTTCTTTGGATGAAAATATAAATTACTTAGATGTGTAACCCTAATGCGATTTATCAAATTTCTTTAAAAAAAAGTCACAAAACATCCATGGCATGAATTAATTGAGGGAAGAAACAATAAGGGTATAGGCCGAAGATAATAAACGCATAAAAAACACGAAAACAGGCACCTCTTGGCCAAATGTGGGTGAAATGTGTACTGCGAAACCAGTAGCTTTTTTCAAATATAATTTGGGAATAAAAAAAAACCTCCAACTTTTCGTACTTTTGTCCTCAATAATCAAATGCATAAAAATACTCAATATAATAGAAGAACCTCCAAATTATAGAGCTGTTGGATGCAAATAGACTTTTAAGCACAAAATATCATAAAATGGAGAAGTATAATAAGATACAAAGTTAGATTAGTGGGTCAAGATTTCACACAGATTGCAGGCATTGATTTTGATAAAACCTCCTCTTCAGTTGTGAGATATATTGCTGGCACACTGTTTAGGTACATAAGCTTAATAACTACATCATTACTCAACAGTGATTTAGATGTTGAAATTTACATGAAAATCCCAGAAGCTATTGACGTTGAGCCGGGGAGAGTTTGTTATTTGAAGAAAAACATATACAATTTGAAACAGTCTCATAGATTATGGAATCATAAATTGGTCAATGTTTTGAAATAAATAAACCTGAAACAATCCATAGCTGATCCATGTATGTTTTTGTCGCAAGATGGAAGACTGATACATGCAGTCTATGTGCATGATTTATGTATACTAGGCAAAACTGAACAAGTTGTTCAACAAGTAGAAGATATTTTATCTAAGAACTTACCTAGGTAAACCAAAATTTTTATTATCGCTGCAAATTTAATGCAATTTTTCATCTGTGTCTTTGAATCAAGAAACATACTTAGAAAAAGTTTTGCAAAAATAAGACATGATGAACTGTAAGACGGCCTCTGTTCCAATGGATCCTGGTACCAAAGCTAAAGGCAACATGGGAAGATAAGAGAGCAGACAAAAAGCTAAAACAGTCGAAGATGGCAAGTCTTCTATTTCGTGACATAGGAACAAGACGTGACATAGCCTATGCAGTGAACAAAGCTATCACAGTTTCAAATTGACCCGACAGAAACTTATATGAAATTGTTTCAACGGATTTTAAAATAACTAAAAGTTAAAACTTGACCTACAACTTCAAAAAATTCCTGCAATTCATGTTTACAGTGATGCATCATATGGAGACTGTGCAAATACAAGACGATCCAGTAGTGGATACTTATTGGGTTTTATGGTAACGCAGCAGTCAGTACAAAGGGACCTATCTCAATATTTGGCGAAAATTAGTTACTCTCATAAAAATACTTGAAATAATCATATGTATGTTGTGACGAACTGGCATATCTCCATATACACCGTGTGACCATTATTCAATTTTAGTGGTGTGGCATATCTCATTTTAGACATAAAAATATTTTCGCGTACAGGCCGTGGGCCAGGAGAGGTGAGCTGCTCGAAGGGGCTCATGGTCGGGACGCATCCATCAGTGGTGTAAATAAGACCCGTATTCTCTTCTGAATCCCGTCATTCACTTGACCAAAATAATGAAGAAATGCGCACGGGTGCAACTTGTTTATCTATCTGTCTGCCTCTAACTCATATGATATAAGTTTGATAGGTGCGTTGACCTGCCAATCGATTGCAGGTGTGTTCCGCCTGTCTTTACAGAACCGGTGTTGCCAGTAGTAGTTTTTGGTCTTGAACCTCCAACTTTTTGAACAAAAGTCTTAGGCTGGAGTCTCATGCATCCGTTTTCCGACGAAACAAGTCCGAAAAACCTTCTATTTTGACATATTTTTATACGATTATGTCAGAATAGAAGGTTTCTCGGACATCTTTCGTCGGAAAACGGATGCATGAGACTCCGGCTTTAACAGTATAAAAAATCAATCCGTAACAATTTGACAACCAAATTGGAGGGGATACACCGGCGGTGGATTGCTTTCCTAGATGATGGCGACACCAAATTTTGTTTACTTGAATGTCTATCTGTGTTAATTAGAGAGTTATTGGACGTGCAATAAGGACAAGTAGTATTTAAATTAACCTTATTTTGACATCTACGCATGCGCATTTGGGTCCGAAAATAAGGATTTCCTTATTAGGGTTACTGCTTGTCTTAATTTATGTATGGTTAGTGCGAGGCAGTAAACTTCCCTTATTTCAAATTTCTGACATTTTGGACGACTTTGACGTTTTGTTTTTCGACGATGACGTAATTTCACTTAGAAAATTTATTTTTTACAATACTTTTCCATTTTACTGTGGGTAACATCAAAAAATGGGTATCAGCAGAAAATCACAAACAAAAACAAACACTTTTTGAGGCTTAAATTTATAAACATAGCTATCAGCTGTCAAAATTATAAATACAAAATAAGGTAATACTCTAGCACCTACTACAGTCTTCCAATAGAGAGTTATTGGAACTAATAAATACTGCCTCGCAGTATTAAGGATCTACGTTATTTTATTAGTGCATCAGCACTATTTTTCCAAGAAAAAAACAGTTATTGGAAGACTGTAGTAGGTGCTAGAGTATCACCTTATTGTGTATTCATAATTTTGACAGCTGATAGCTATGTTTATAAATTTCAACCTCAAAAAGTGTTTATTTTTGTTTGTGATTTTTTGCCGATACTCATTTTTCGATGCTACCCACAGTAAAATGGAAAACTACTGTAAAAAATAAATTTTCCAAGTAAAATTACGTCACCGTCGAAAAGCGAAACGTCAAAGTCGTCCAAAATGTCAGAAATTTGAAATAAGGGAAGTTTACTGCCTCACACTAACCATACACAAATAAAGACAAGCAGTAACCTTATTAAGGGAATCCTTATTTTCAGACCCAAATGCGCATGCGTAGATGTCAAAATAAGGCTAATTTAAATACTGCTTGTCCTTATTGCACGTCCAATAACTCTCTAATAACTGTTTTTTTCTTGGAAAAATAGTGCTGATGCCCTAATAAAATAATGCAGATCCTTAATACTACGAGGCAGTATTCAATAGTTCCAATAACTCTCTATTATGTCATTGTGAAAACTTCATTTGATCAAGTGATTGTGATTCGAAATCGATTTTGAACACCATCATGAATAATTTTGAATAAATCATCAGGATTTTGTTTTTTTGAACCTTTTTCCCCTCACTGTACCTGACCAGTGTTAACCTCCTCAATAGGGCAAAGTTGTTAACTTGAAGCATGGACTATTTTGTGACAATTTAAATATGTGACAGTGTTAACCTTCTCAATAGGGCAAAGTTGTTAACTTGAAGCATGGACTATTTTGTGACAATTTAAATATGTATCTGGATAATTTTTTCTTATTTTTATATCGATTACCGTTTTCAAGATACACGCTATTGACAGTTTTCGGTGAAACACCCGGTATATTGCATCAACGAAGAAAACACAGCGACGTTCATTATCACTACATCCGAGAGAGAATTAACATTAACATAAAGTTTTTCTCTTCAAACTACGAATTATAAAATCTAGAACATGCCATCGTTTTTCTCTTCTTCCAGATTTTACATATTTCTGTCTCTGTAGTATTTCCGCTTTCCCTTTTCTTCTCAATGATGACATCATTTCCACTAATTTCAGGAAGTTTTACTAAATATTCTTTGATTTTTCTAAACACATCTTCGATCCTCACCCTTTTAATGAATTTGGTTCTGGACATTGTCTTACGATGTTTCCACTACAATTCATATGTTTAATGTGAACTAGATCATTGTCATTCAATTTATTGGTAACAATTAGGGTTTGTGTCTACAGTCATAATTTTTCTTCACTTCTTCTTGTCACTTGCCCTGCTTTTTCCCAACTTTTTCATGGTCAAAGTTTTAGGTTTTCCTTTTGGGAAGGTAAGTTTTCTTCCAAATAGTAGTTCTGAGAATTCGTTCGGAGAATTTCCACATGGAAGTTGTGTATTGTGGTATGCTAATATTGCTAATATTCCCAAATAAAGGTCTTCACACTTTTTTAACAGCTTTCACTCTGCTGAAACATTGCTTTGTGGAAATGGGCTACTTTTTAGGTGGTTAAAGTTGTTTGTGCAAACTTTCAGAAAACTGCAACTATCAAATTGTGGTCCGCCATCCAAGGTCCGAGTATAATTATCTCTGAGATTCTGTAAAGTCCAAGGATTTCTTAAAATTTTCCTATGATGTCTTCACTTTTTTGGTGTAATAACTTCTGGATATTTTGAGTACACATCCTGTATGACAAGGTAGTCTTGATTTTTGTGCTGGAAGAAAACTGTCGATACATGTTGAAATGGTAAGTCTGGCAATTTTCGAAGTGTCATAGGATCTGTCTCTTCATTCTGGTTCTATCAACATTACTTAATGGTTCTTTGATTTCCCAATTTTGATGAAAAGTTCTGGAAAGATTGGATGATTTTTGTCAAATATAGTTGTTCAGTACTCACAGTTTTCTTGTAATTGATGTTGTCAATAATCAGTTTTAACAAGTTTTAAGTTCTGTATTGCAGGCTGCGGAAACGGTTTCAAATCAAACATATAAAAAACGTAGAATATGGAATAAGTATGAAACAAATAAAACACTAAACAATTATCTAGCTTACATATTACAGACCAACAAAACTAAGCAGAAGTTGGTTGATGCCCAAAGAAAAAATGAAAATAGTGTTCAGATTCACCAAAAAAACTGTTCAAGTGTATAAGTTGTTCCAAGGTATCAACCATAACTTTAATAAAATATCCTCCATCTGAGCGGTTCTTGGATAGTATAACCATGACAGAGAAATTTGCGGAGCGATTTGTCACAGCTTTCACAACTGAAGCTTATCCAGTTCCAGTCCTACATTACAAGAGTAGGGAGATCTAACGAAGTGCCACAGTTAGCCCGCTGCTCCCAGGGTTAATGAGGGAATGTATGGATCAAACAAAAATTCCAGCACCTTGGAAATATTCCATTGTCACGCCACTTTACAAAAAATGAGATTGACATAAACCAGAAAATTATCGCCCTATTTACTTGTAACCCGCTGAAATGTATGTTGAAAATTTTAGTTAAGGAACTGATATTTTTCTTTCTGGAGAAAAATCTCATACCTTCAGCCCAACATAGATTTCTACCAAAACGTTCTACCACTACCAATCCTTTGGAAAGACTAAATGATTGGACAAACAACCATGACAATGACCTACCAACAGATATTATCTATCTAGAATATGAAAAAGTTGTTGACAAAGGCCTACATAAAGTGCTATTAGAGAAACAAGAACACTTTGGAGTAAAATGAAAGTTGCTTGCCTTAATCAAGGATCTGCTAGAAGGTAGATTTTTTTCAAATATCAGTTAATGGAGAGCTTTCCAGTCTCCATAGGGTTACCAGTGGCGTCATGCAGGGTTCGGTGATCGGTCCGGTATGTTCACACCATATCTTTTTGATTTGGTGAAAGGTGAAACCAATCCAATTTACTGTTAAATTGTTTGCAGCTGATTGCAAAATCTATAGATCCTTTGATGAATGCAGATTTACTTAAGACTGACGCGCAGAACATTGGAGAGTGGTCAAAAACTTGGGGAATGAAATTAAACTCCTCAAAATGCATATTTCTAAGGATTGACCCAAATAACCCAAGAAAAGTCTTTATTCTCTACCACTCTGCTTTCACATCAGTAAATGAACAAGATGATCAACAACAATGCCTTTGAAGTCCACTCCATCGAGATTTATCTATCCCTTACAAAAGCTATATAAGGCCAAAAATAGAATATGCTTTTATATAGAGCTACTTGAGAAGATTCAGCGTAGAGTTACTAAATTTTCCTCACAGCCATATCCAGAAAGATTAATTAAATTCAATTTGACATATCTTAAAGAAAGGAGGCACAGGGGCGATATAACTGAAACCTACAAAATATTCAGTGCAATTTGATAAACATTCTCCATCCATATTAATATGGGTTGTCAGGTACTACCGAGGGTACTACTGATAATAATAATTAGGTTTATGACTTGGTATACTCTATTATGTGAGTACATGTTTGTTTCTTCTTTTGTGTTTTAAGTATTTTCGTTTCTTTATCTATTATTGTAAATCGTGACATATCAAAATGTTTTTTGGGTTTAATTCAAGTCTTTTAAAATAAAGTATTTACTGTTTAAATATCTTCTCTATTTCAAGGCAGACATGTTTATATTTAGTTATATTACAAGATTGCTCTGTCAACGAATTTTTAATAATAATAATTATTATTTCATGACCTCCCAAAACTCCCCTAATATTTTTGACCCTAATAAACAAATGCAGTTAACGAGAAAAAAACCTGTAGTAAACTTTGTCCACAGCCTTAAAAACCGATTTAGTAAAAAAGCTACCACAAGTGACAGTGGACAGTTTTTGATTGAAATTTATAACTTGACCAACTGTTTTGATGTCTATGTTTCTCCACAGTATTACAAGCACATATTCTCATAACGACTATACATAATTCTAATTTATATGCCGGTAATCGTTCATTTAAAATTCCATTACATCAAAAGCTATTCTTTGGTGGTCATCAACACCATATCGGATTAAAATGATGGTACTTAGAACTACATAATAAAAATTGATAGTGAATCATACCTAAAGGCATTTTGCCAGTTGGACGTGTATTGTATGTAAATTAATGAGATTTTATTTCGCGGGACTGAACGTATCGAGATAATAGTTGTAGAACTAAGAAATTTTGTAATAATATTTATTAAGTCATATTAATTATAATAAGTATGTCGTAACTGCCAATATTATTATTTTCAGCTAAAAATAAGAATTGGAAAGCGCGAGTTTGTGCGAATCTTCAGTTAGCGGCGGCTTTTTTCTTCCTTATTGCTTTTTGCCATTTTGATAAATTTAATTAGGTCGAATTGTGCAAACTATTGGTGGATTCTCACATTATGGGCACAACGGTGGACCAGTTATACATGGTGTAAAATAAGAATTTTACTACTGAAAATTACAGTTTGAGTTTCAATATTCAAATCAAAAAGAAAATTAATTCTGTTTTGAAACACACATGTATTTTTTTTCAATTTCCTGTCTATTGTGGGTGACTAGTAAATAAATATTAATTACATGGTAATAGTTGGTTATACCTACTTAATTAACGTAGGAATAATTTTTCTAACTTTTAATAACTGCAACCTTTGGTCGATGGAAAAAAAAACCAATAGGAATGTTTTATAGAAATGTCCAACTAAATAATATATCTTTGGTATCATTTTCACTTATACACAGAAGCTTCTAGTGGGTCGTCAAAATTTTGTTTGAAAATTTGATCACGTTCATTTTCAACTTATAATTGAAAGAAGAAATTAACTAGTACATGCATGCGGATTGTAAATTAAAGTTGAATTTACAATAGACCTAGCTATGAATTGTTACAGAAGAAATTCAATGTAATACCAGCACGTGAGGTGAACAAATTTATTTTGTACCATTGAGTGTTGTGTCTCGATTGTTAAAAATCAGATAGACATGCTTGGAACAGCATTGGAAAAAAATTTAAATATACAGTGAATCTTCTGAACCTTAACACAACTATAATTAAGATAATTTTGTCTATTTTTTTTTTCTAAAATCATAGTTTAATTGAAAATAATTCACGGTCATTATTTTTAAATTACCTATAGGTAGGCAACTAATGGTATTTTGTCCCCGAAATCTACAGTATAAAAACACTAATTTTGAGGTATGATTACAATATTGACTCAATTAGGATACGATTAATGCACTTCCCACACAATCAATTGTTGCATACGTATGTAATTGATATATTTTTTTAAATTACACATTGTTTGGAATGCACAGTACTTTGAAATTGGTCAATCAATATTAAACTTGAGGTACTTATGGCTTTATCAGCTGAAACAAATCCTAAAAAGTAGTATCACAGAAACAGGACATTAGCATTAGGCGTAAATATCAAAGCTAAACAGAAAATCGTGTCAAAGAATAATGCAGCAAAACGCACCGATTGTAATAAAACTCGCTAATTAACATTTTCTATGTAAGTACCTGAGCAAATAATGTATACAGCGTATCCGATACTTTTTCAAGCAACCATCCTCCTAACAATAAAACTCGTTTATTTCATAAAATAGGCACAGTTCCGAAAAAAAATTTTTTTTTTCACTTCACAACGTTGCCAAGATTTATTCGAGCTCGCGGGTGCGTGAATAACGCGCTACGAGTGCAACAACTGACAAAACCGCTGGAGTACCACACGATATTCAATTGTCCTCCATGTGTAGTACCATGGTGGACTGAACTGCTCGAAGTGGGGTGTAATGCAACGTTAAGATGGTTGTTCTTCTTGTAAAAGAGATTTGGCGAGAAATATGGGAAGCTGCTGGACGAATTTTTCGTGAATGTGTGTTACGGCAAAACTATTTCGTAATTGTGCTATAAGAATTTAGAACAGTTAGGACTATTGTAGATTGTTGTACAGGGTTGTTCAATAGTCTTGCATAAATTTTTATATTTTTTTTACTCATGTATTATAACTTGTTATGTTCGTCTTTGTATTGTCATTGGTTTTATTATTATTAAGTACTTTTGAGCCGTCGTCTTATGCCCTAGCCATATCTATTTCACTATTATCTATATTCACTGTTCTATTGTTCTGTGTTGTCTGTCCGATCTTATTTTATTTTATTTTATATTGTGTTTTGTATTTTTATTTAATGTTTATATTGAGGTTTATATTAAGACCTATTATTTTTATTGAGCCTCTGACTATTTGCGAAACTTTACATGAGGGGTTTGTTAAGTGAATCAAATAAATAAATTATAAGGCCAAATTACCAAAATAGTGTGTCGTCTTTTACAGTGTTTTCCTTTAATTTTTTGAATTATTTTCTATAAGGTACTTCAAAAGACAGGAAGTAAATAACATTGACCATTCAAACGACAGAATAAGGGGCGGAATTGAATAATAATTTATTGGACAATGGACTAGAAAGTAAGTGCTGCAGATTGACTTCCATTCCTGGTACTAATATACAAGGTCTTCAAAGTATAAAAGCAAAATATAATATCATGCTGCAAGACGATTGAAACAATTTAGAATGAGATGAAATAACAAATAAACTGCTTGACAATTCCTTTAGAGTAAAAGGAAACTTTCACCTAATTTACAAGCTCAATCTTTTTGGAACCAAAATATCGACCTCGGGTTTCCATATAGCAATTTTTTTCACAAAAAGTCAATCTATCAGCCCGTGAAAACCGGAGGTCGGTATTTGGTATGGTTCCAAAAATATTGAGCTTGAAATTTATTCGAAAAAAATTCCTTGCTCGAAAGCAATTGTCCAGCAGTTACCTCTTGATCGGTGTAACAGAAAACCCCCTATCTTGACCTTTTGATCTCCGCCAGAAAAGACCATATACCATTGGACGAATCAATGATTTAATTAACAATGACATTTCACTGATTGCCACAAACTGAACGAGTATACTATGAAAACTCAGTCAACAAAACATACTAGGACGAGTTTATGATAAGAAAAGACTCCAAACTTCTGATAGAATTGGATCATTGTCCTGGACATTCACTTAATATTCATGCATCAGTCAAAAATTCATCACAAAACCTGTCAGCTGTTAATATTCCAAGAAAAGCTTCAACAGAAAATGAACCTGGGTGTCAGCAAACAAAATATGACAAAAGACGAAATAGACTAGTTTTATACGTAAAAAAATTGAAGGTATCAGTTATCAACAGATTCACCAGAGGCAGTCCTGAAAGCTTAAGCAAAACTTGAGATCAAGTTTGAACAATTAAACGTTTGTTGGATAAAAGAGTGAAGCCTTATCCCATCGATTAAATAAATGTATCTGGGGAAGAATTTCGAACCTCAAGAAAGCATGGAAAAATAATCAAAAGTGGATGATAATTAATCTACTGTACTCAGCAATATGTCTTTGGTACCTACTAGTTCAATTTTGTATTGTGATCAGTTTGTTATGTCAAGTTCTTTGTCCAATAAAGCTAATATTTTGATATAGGTAATTCGAAAGTTCTATTCATAACAATTTATTAGACAAAATAATCAGATAAGAAATGGATCGTTTCTAGCACCCAGAAAGTAGATTTGTCGACCAACTCTGATAGTCTGGAATGGACCCATTGGAAGGAGACATTCAAGAACTTTCTTGTTTTTAACAAGCGTAAACCTGAAGATCACAGAGATGAAACCAAACTAAAACTACAACTTCTGTTGATTCATATTGCTTCTAACTATAGATATTAGCGACCCGACAAGCATAGATGAATATCTACAAACATTATACCTGAATATAACTTTCTTGCAGCCAAAGATCATAAGAATAGCTATATCAGGGATGCTTTTATAAATGGCCCAAGCAACTCCTCTATACGCACAAGATTGCTTGAATATACAACTCTTAGTCTAAATGAGACTAATCATAATCAAGATTAATCTTTACAAATGGTTCAATTTCACTCACAAAGCCGCGTACAAAATTCCATCAATGCAACTTCTATTGACTTGAGTGAACTTAATTCTGATCCAGATCATCCTATTAATCAAATACTAACTGCTTGTATGAGAAATCTAACGAACTGTTGATTTTGTGGAGGATCACGTCATTTTTGATATCCTTGTCCAGCTTCAGATGCAACTTGTCAAAAATGTCCAAGAAGGACATCGCAACAAAGTTTGTGACTTAAAAAAGGAATGGCTATAGGGCTACGTCATATTCTATCAATACTTCAGTTATCGAGGCTGCAGGACTTGAAAAAGCTATAAGTATATGATGTAATAATTTGTGGACAACCAGCTAAAGCTCTTATTGACACAGGAAGCACCTACATCAAGTTTCATAAACGCTTCTCTTCTCGAGCAGCTTAAGATTCCACAAATTCTGGCTTAGCAATGAGCTGATATGATATTACTGAAGTTGAAGCAAGTTGTACTGTGTCACCAGAAGCAAATAGCCGTGCCTATGAAAACTTTACATTACTGGATATGAAAAATCTTTTCTCAGATATTGTATTGGGTATTGGGTCACTATCTAAACTTGAGATGTCATTCAATGGATTCCTTGGATTCCTGGATTCCTTGGAAGTATGCGCTTAGATGCAAGCACATATTACTCCTGCTCCTCAATTTCAATCTCAATAACTCATCAGACACTTAACTCAATCTCAACAACACTTGCACACCTATAGCTATTAAATCTAAGAAACAATCACAAGAAGACCTGAAATTTATCAAGAAGTCTGCAGAATGCTTTCTGCAGGTATCATTGAAAAGAATAATTCACTTTGGACAACTCACGCTGTAGTCACTGTACAAATCATAAGACGAATGGTAATAAACTATGCACCAATTATAAACCATGGAGTTTCCAGGTTTCAAAAAGTTATTGATATCAATCAAGAAAGAAAATCTTCGAGGCCTATTTTGATCCTATCACAATTGGTGGTAAGACTCAAGAACATTACAAAAATCTTCAAAAATTCTTTACTGGAAACCATAAACTTACTATAAACTCTACTAAATCAATGTAGGGACTGAGAAAAATAAATCTCATGATCAATCAATTTGGGATTAAGTACATCATATTAAATTTTGGAGATCAAACTTTTAACGGACCTTGGATTGGATTTATTTTCAATTAACAAAAATCCAATTAGTGGTAACAAAAAAAAAATACAGTTGCGTGTGGAAAAGTATAACTTTCTGCACTTGTTAGATAAATAACTATATTTTGCTTTAATGCCAGGTTATTGTGCGAGACTTAGCTGACTTTGCAGCAGCGACATTAGACAACATAAACAACGACCACCACAAAAGAGTAATTTTACAAATATTAAGAACCAAAATACTCAAACTCAACGGTACTCATTATAAAATTATCCTTCGCTTAGGAATAAGTTATTGTCACAAGAACGAATACCACGAAAATTGCAGAGAGAAACTATTTACCAACCAAACAAAAATTTGTAAAGTTCAAGTTTTCGTAGTCAAATCCAAAATATGTTAAATCTCAGCGTCAAAATGTTAAAAAGGATGCGAACGATAGGAGCAGGACTAATTATATCAGATATAGGAAAGCCCTACTTGCAGGTGGTCATTCACCCATAGCTGCAAATGATCCTGATGTAGAGAAATTCCTTGGGGCTACTTTGAAACATTTGGATGCAGTATATGGAACACCCAATAAGCACACAACTGTTGCCCATAAATATTGTTTGAATACATATTTGACGACTCTCTATTTTAGGTGCTCTCTGTAAATTCTCAAGTTGTAGCAGGTGTGAGATACGCGATAAAGGTAAAAATAGGTTTAACAAGCTGTGATGAAACTAAAGAATATCAACAGGGATCTTTTGCTGATTCACAACTTGAAATTTGTATCATAGATGTTTGGGACAGGCCATGGTTGAATAAGGGTCAGTATTATAAAACACTGAACCGATGGTTGTGTTTCAACCTTCGGTTGAATCCTATCAATTTGCATGGAGTCAACCGAAGGTTGAAACTCAACCATCGGTTCAGTGTTTTATAATACCGGCCATAAGACTCTTTATAAAGTAAAGTGTGCTGATTAAAAAAGTACTGAAACTAAAACATATTCGTTTGCTGATGAAGAAGAAGAGAAGGATCGTTCTAGGAAGAAGAGGGGTAGACCAGGAGGTAATTTTTATTATTTAAAGTGGGTTCAGCATCATTTTAATTTGTTTTTTTAGGTGAAAATAGTCTTCCTGAATCCAAAATTCTTGACTACTTGCAAAAAGGTCTCATTTACTCAGATTCCACTTTAGCTGAGAGCACCAAAAAAATATTCGACAAAGTGCTAAAAGCTACAACTCAAAGTCGTAGCGGGTTCTCTAGTAAAAATAAAAGCACAGTTTCAAATTGCCCTAAAACGTCAGATATGAAAGAGTGTGTAAAATTAGAGGGCAGTCCTAGCATTTTGTGTAAATTTGAAATATGGGAAAATTCTTTGTTGAATTTTATAGAAACAAGTGTGAAGATAGGCCAAAGTAGGTGTTTAGATCCAAAGGGGAAATTGGTGGCTGGCAACGGCCAGAAAGTTTTGGTTGGCAACTTTTATTAGTTAAAAAACATTTTGTGATTTCAAGATTTTTTTATTCCAGAATTAGACTAAATGAATCCAAAGCAACAATAATTGTATGGAGAGCTTTAGAGTATCTTTCAACTAGCACTCAGCCAGGCAAAATTCTCAGACTGAATGAAATTAACTCACACACATCATTCACAAGCGTTTGACTCTAAACTTTGGATAATCGAAGCTTGAGTAGCTCTTTGTCACTTGTCAGCAATTCAAGCTAGTGCCTTTATTACATCTCAATCACTATGCCAATATGTCCAGCTTATTTCGAACATTTCAAATGCCAGTTTGTGGCTAGAATAAATAGCTAAGTATAGCTAATTGAAGCATATGAAACTCAATATTACTTGTTAATATTACATTCTTTTATACCTGAAATATAGTCAATCTAAGAAAACTATGATTTTCAATTTTTTTTCCAAAGACAATTCTAGAAATGTATGGTAACATTTGTTGCAAGATCTATCAGTTTAGGCGTACATCATGTTAAATCTTGATCAAAACCAAACGATTTTTTATTTCTCGAAATCGCCAACAATTCAATTTCCAGTTATAACACACTTGATCAAACTTTTAACGGACCTTGGATCGGATTTCTTTTCAGTTAACAAAAATCCATGTGACGGTTACAAAAAAAAACAAAAATCACAGGTAGGTAATGCAATATTTCGACACGCTCTTACAAGAATCCGATTCTGGTTGTTATTAAAAGAACTTTAGGAAATTTCAATAACGTCACTTTCTCAGTAACGTATAATTATCCTTGATTTACATATTGGTGAAATGCTGTGTCAGAATCAGAATTTGAATAAATTAATTTTTATTGTTAATTACAAGTAAATGCCTAACGTGCAGTTCTGGTTATAAAAGAAGTAGGACAAATTTTGTATAATACCATCCATCAGGCCTTCCTAAAGTGGGACAATTTAATGAAAAAAAATAGTATTGGTTGTAAGGTTTTTGAACAACAGATTCCTAAGCTAATTTTTCGAGCTTAGTTTTGAACTTTGACAGTGGGTGATGCTCTTCTATCATCCCAATAGAGGACAGGCTACTTTCTTAATAATCTCCGCCATTCCCATCCTACATTCATCAACCCCTACAGCTGCCTCATAAAATCTAAAGGGAGGCACAAATGTGCACCAACAATAATGATCAATATCATCTGAAGATAGCATGAGATCTAGTTACATTGGGAAAAATCGATTTGGGTGCCGATGAATTGTTGCCAATATCAAACTAATGTAAATCGAAGACTTTGACAAATACTTCATTACCCTATAGAATGATCTAAACTCAAAAACCAACCAAATTATTAGAGTTCTCAATGATGCAGCAAGCAACTATAGAGACTGGGGAGCAAAACCTACAAAATTTAATCAAGAAACAAAGACTGCTAGAAAATTTTAAGATGAAGACCATGGACCCAGGAAAAATCCTACCTCATGCTCGATGTACTGGACTTAAATGATATATGCACAAAATGGAATTGCAATATACTACTCTAAAACCGCTTTCTGATAGGTTTATGAATACAACTTTACTGTCTTAGTATGTATAGCTTTGGTATTATAATCATGATTGACAAAACTTTTTTTTTTTCAATTACTTTCACTATTTACTATTTGGTCAAAAATTTACCTAACAGATATCTTGCTAATTGATAGTTTATCACCTATAATCCTATTCCGAATGTATCAGCCTATTATTAGCGAGTATTATCTAATATAGGTTTCAAATATTTTCTTTTCCTGATGTTTGAATTTAAAACATTATCAATTATTATGTCAATTTCCTATTTTTGTTTAGTTGATATTACGTGAGAATTTGGATTTTTCGTATCTCATGAATCAGTTCTATTCTCACCTATTTTCATCATCCATCTACATAGATATTGTGGACAATGAAACCTGGAAGTTTTAGAATTTACAGCTCACTTTGTGAGTAAAAAGGTTTTTCAAACTTTTTCTAATGAAGACCGTTTTATTTATGCACTTAGAGATTATCAAGTGCTTTTTGCATCTAAATACATACCTCAAGAAGGTAAGTTTTATTGAAGTTGATTAGCCAGATACTAATAAACACATTACAAAAATATATATACTTAAGTAAGAAATGAATGCTCTTGGTACTAGCCTTTTTTTCTTATCTTTATGAATACACGGGGTAATTTTTCTTGTAAGGTTGAGTGCTACAAATTGTTTACCTTATAATTTGCATACCAACCATGTGTGGGATATAAAAACACCAAAACCCATTAACTTATATATTTAGCCACATTTAATAGTTTCTGCGGAAGTTATTTTGCCATCCAAGGAGGTTGCTATCTAGTTAAATGGCTTATCAATTATAGGATGAATAAATTTGCAAATGATTTGTGGAAATTTAACTAGGATTAAATCGGCACATCAAAAAAGAAACAGTCGTATACATTATTTTATAATTTATTCCAGAATAGTGAATGACTAAACTATCTGAAAAATTGTCTAGAAGAGTGAAAATAGGATATCTACCGACTTCCTTTCTTAGGGAACAACATTTTTTTGTCCTCTATTGTATTATTACATAAACATGTGCATTTTGGCATTGAATTCCTCCAAGTTTCGACAAACAAAAAAAAATCAAGTCAACGCACGATGAAAGGTTGTTTCAATAAAAAAAGCTTTAAAATGGACATCACCCAGACAATACGAATAAATTTTCTTTTATTATGAGGAACCGGTGACGACAAGGTTCCGCTTTACTTAATTGAATATAAATAAATAAATTCGTCCCATGCCGGATGATCCAAGCAAGGCTAATTAAATCGTAAAAAAATTATTGGTTTCCTTATATCGGAATTCTTGGGCGAGGATTGTCAAAATATGGGCTAGTGGGTTTCGTTTTAATTGAAAATCCATTAACAATTATTAAAGTTGTCGGGGTACCTACAACATAATTCGTGTGAAATTTCCATGTAATGATTCACCAATTAAAACATAAAATGTTTTATTTGGTGTCACATTCATAAAAGCAAACAGAAAATTGTTTATCCTTCATTGAGGCCATCACCTGGTGAGAAAATCTAAATATTCAATAGGTAAAGGTTACCAATAAAGTGCTATTATAATACTAATTTCCTCTAACTATTTTTGTTCGGTAACAATACCGTAATTGAATTATTAGGTTTTCAATTAAACATGACCAACATAATAAATGCTCATTCTCACTAAAAGAAGATTTTGCCTTATTTCATAGTATTGGGGCCTATAGGAACGTTGCTCTTGTGTGTTCTACATCAGATAGCCATTAGAGTGATGTGTGGTCTGCGATACAATACGGATGAATGGAGGGCTGCAGGTCTATAAACCTAGCAGTCCCAAAGTGGAAAAAAAATTCGGGAACTAATTAAAAATTAGGTGCTCCTTTAGTTTTTGAGAAAATCAAAAAAAACTAAGGGACTGCTAGGTTTATAGTAAAAAATATTTTTTCAAATTTTTTCTTTATATCAGAATTAGGTGCTTTTTAGGTGCTCCTAAATAGTCCAAGAAAAAATAGAATTGATTCATTATTAACTGAATAACAGATTTTTTTTTAATTATTAGGGGACTGCTGAGTGCTGGCTTTACGTTTACATGTTAGTGTGTCAGAAAGGCGAAAAAACTTCGAGATCTATATAATAATTAGGTGCTTTTTAGGTGCTAATTAGGGCCTCTAATTAAAAATCAGGTGCTCCTCTAGTTTTTGAGGAAATCAAAAAAAACTAAGGGATTGCTAAATTTATGAAAGCTAGTAGTCCCCTATGGTAAAAAATATTTTTCCAAAATTTTCTTTTGTATCAGAATTAGGTGCTTTTTAGGTGCTCTTAAATAGTCGAAGAAAAAATAGAATTGGTTAATCATTAACTGAGTTACAGATTTTTTTTTAATTATTAGGGGACTGCTGGCGGGATCTATATAATAATGAGGTGCTTTTTAGGTGCTAATTAGGGCCTCTAATTAAAAATTAGGTGCTCCTCTTGTTTTTGAGAAAATCAAAAAAAAATTAAGGGATTGCTAGGTTTATGAAAGCCAGCTGTCCCCTAATAATTAAAAAAAAATCTGTAACTCAGTTAATGATAAACCAATTCTATTTTTTCTTCGACTATTTAAGAGCACCTAAAAAGAACCTAATTCTGATACAAAAGAAGATTTTGAAAAAATATTTTTTACCATAGGGGACTACTAGCTTTCATAAACCTAGCATTCCCTTAGTTTTTTTTGATTTTCTCAAAAACCAAAGGAGCAACTAATGTTCAATTAGAGGCCCTAATTAGCGCCTAAAAAGCACCTAATTATTATATAGATCCCGAAGTTTTTTTGCCATTGTGACACACCAACAAGTAGACGTAAAGCCAGCAGTCCCCTAATAATTAAAAAAAAATCTGTAACTCAGTTAATGATTAACCAATTCTATTTTTTCTTTGACTATTTAAGAGCGCCTAAAAAGCACCTATTTCTGATACAAAAGAAAATTTTGGAAAAACATTTTTCACTATAGGGGACTACTACTAAATAATTTAGCAATCCCTTAGTTTTTTTTTTGATTTTTTCAAAAACAAGAGGAGCACCTAAATTTTAATTAGAGGCCCTAATTAGCACCTAAAAACCACCTAACTATTATATAGATCCCGAAGTTTGTTTGCCATTCTGACACACCAACAAGTAAACGTAAAGCCAGCAGTCCCCTAATAATTAAAAAAAATCTGTAACTCAAGTTAATAATTAATCAATTCTATTTTTTCTTGGACTATTTAGGAGCACCTAAAAAGCACCTATGTAATTCTGATATAAAGAAAAAATTTGAAAAAATATTTTTTACTATAGGGGACTGCTAGCTTTTATAAACCTAGCAGTCCCTTAGTTTTTTTTGATTTTCTCAAAAACCAAAGGAGGCCCTAATTAGCACCTAAAAAGCACCTAATTATTATATAGTTTCCGAAGTTTTTTTCCACCTTGGGGCTGCTA